GTAGTAAATCCATGTATGAAAATGTCTGTTGAAGATAAGTAATGAAGATTATAAGTATGTTATACAAAAGACTATAAAAAGCATTAAAGACGCTATCTCTTGGTAAGACTTTCCCTGATCATTTCAGCCTGCTTTTGTTTATCTGGCACCTAATTTTTATAGCACTTTGTACGTCCGAATGTTCTTATTATACACTGCTTTGTGTTTGTTTTAACTTTCCTATGGATTTATTGCTCTTCAAAGGGTATCATCTGTCCCATTTGTCTTTGTTATTCCCAATAGTCTATAGCTCATAATAAATATCATTTAACCAAGAAGATTGACTGTTTTAAATTTCACTATTCTGTAATGATGACAATGAGTTAAGATTTCAGAATTGCTAAACAGGAAATATCATTTAAAGGAAGCCCCGGGGGTTTGTCTTAAAGCTAATTTGCATAAAGCAAATGTATTTATGTAGAGGGCTTTTAAGGGACTATCCCTTAATATCCCTAACACTACCAGACCACCCATGACATTCCCATGTTTCAACTGATGGTAATGAGCACATAAGCCCAGACAGTCTACAAAAGAAAGAAGGAAAAAAAGAAGTGAACAACTTCTAAAGAATGACCGGTTTTTCACATGCCTGGTGAAAACAACAGATAGTGTGTAATATACCTGAGATCAAAGGAGTTGTGAGAATGGTTAATTCTCCTTTCAGTGCCGGCAGACTTCTCAAATATGTTTCTATTTCATTCTGTATAGCTTCTAGTTCTTGAGTTGTGATCATGCTTATCTCAGTGGACTGTTTCAAAAGACCTCCCTTCCACGTTACCTGTAAATCTTCAAACTCAAAATTGTAAACATCAGTGAAGAGTTGATCAATAAAAGCCTTCATTAATGTCTTCCGGTGCATGGGTACCATTACCTTAATGCTGCTCAGGTTTTTTTCATCAATTTTCTGTTTAATGGTATACAAAGAGGCAGCCATACTAGGGTTGCTAACAATCTCGAATTCTCTCAAGAGAGCTGACAATCCATTGGTTGTTTCTAATTCATAAGTATCAAGGTCACCGTTGCTTTCACAGCTGATGTTACTGCAACACATTATGCAGAGGAGCTTGGCCTTGGCAGCATGGTGGGATCTAACAGCATCCAATGTCTTCAGTAATGTCGGACAGTTTTTCTGAGAGTTCAATGTCAAACCAAACAGATCAATCAACACTGCTTCTGCCATCCTGCAGTAACTGTACAAAGCTCTTCAAAGAAGACTTTTGTGCCCCCCCCCAAATCACCTGTAACAAAATATTAGCATAAATAAGAATGCAAAATTAGATCAATCCTATAGTTACAACAGAAATATATGGCTGGGGGGGGGGGGGGGGGGGGGGGGGGGACCCAGCTATGTGGAGAGTTTGGACCATGCTTCCTGCCGTCTCCTCTCTGTACCAGGAAGGGCTCAGTGGGCCTGTGTGGAGGTACAGGCGTGTACATACATCTGCAGGGTGACCCAAGGCTGTTACTCTCCCTTGCTCATGCCAGTAGGGAAGAGAACGCGGGGAAGAATCCAAGGAGTCTTGGTGGACCACCAGCTTCTCCAACCCCCAGTCACTTTGCAGAGTGTCTCCCTATTTACTCGCGCATGAAGCCAACATCAATCAGCAGGTCTTTTCCCAAGAGCATGTCGTGTTGCAACCGGTCTCCTCCCAGGAGAACACCGTGGGTGAGGTCTAAGACCAAGAAGGTGGGCCACCTGCGGCTGCTGTGAGCGAGAGGTGTTGCCTTTTGACATTTGGCTTTTATTTTTTAGATCAGCCACCTTAGTTCTTAATGAAGACAGACAGGGGCGTTCACAGTGCTTTCATCTCATGGCCAACTCCAGCCCAGGGTGGCTGTGAGGAAACAGATATTGCAGGGCTGGTGTCAGGGTGACTGTGGGTGCTTCCAGGGCATGGTCTTCTTTGATCCCCAAGAAATCCGTGGGGTTGTTTTTTACCCTGATTCACAGAAGAGGATGTGGGGTTAAGTGATGTGCTCAATATGGCGAAACTAATAAGATGCAAAGCCCGGCTCTTGTCCCTTTAAGGCCAGCAAGCTGTGCTCAGCCTCTGCCCTTGAGGAAGGGGGG